CATTTACTTGGGTCGATTACTCCTCCACCGCTTTTTACCGGCTGAACTGCCAATTCTAGTAGAACCCCCAACCTGGAGACTGAACTTCGTCTGACCTCTACTTATTGACCTTCCAGGTATGACAAGATCTCCTGGTCTTATAAAGCCTTCCTGTGTAGCTCGTTGGGTCACAGAGGTGCAAAAGCCATCACACCACGTCAAGGTGTAGTTTCGTCGTGATGGAGTCGTCCTGTAACAATTAAAAAGGTACAACATAACTATCCAACGCGGTTCTACCCGATAAATGCTATATTACTAGATGTTCCGGGTGGCATAATGCATTGTTTGTGTCAATCACAGGCTTGTGTAATTTAACTTGGGAAAAAGAGCAGCAAAATACCGCGAAGACTCATGTGAATCATTCCGACGAGCTATGAAACCGGAGCGAGTGTTGAATTGTTTAGGGCGGAAATCACAGAAATCGTTTTAGGGCAAACAGTGGAAGATGGGAGTCGCACAAGTGACGGTGAAACAAATAATGTGAGGAAAACCGTTTCTGACAGAAAAAGAGTACTCATGAGATAGATTCTTCTTACTTACTGTGTTTAATCAAATCCACAGCTAAGTAGGGACAGGAGGAACACAGAATGGCGAGCATGTGAACCACATCACGGACACCGGATAGAATTGGGGGTGAGGTCATCAACTGAAATAGGATCGAGAAAACAAAATATGTGTGACGATGTGGGTGACTGGATTAAAACAAACATTTGAGGGAGTAGGTCGAGTAAGATCAAACAGAAATTTTGGCCAGCAGAGTCGTACGTAGACTGTTTACGACCCATGTATCTTGTGTTTTGTATGGGATAGAAGCCCTTTGATTGACCGCTTCCCGTTTTTTTAAAACATTGTTTTTACAATGGTACATTGAAGAAACTGAAACATTTCAATCGCGTAATGAATTTGAAAAGGCAAACCAGAAGACACACACCGGGAGAGGAACTCCACTCGCATACTCTTATCGGTGGCTTAAGTATAATATTAAATACTTAACCTGTCTGCCATATTTATTGTTACAGGTAGGGCACCACCAACAGTATACGAAATGGACTTCTCTAGCAGTATTAATCCGACGAAACGCCTGTTTAAATTCGGTACTCAATAAAAAGAAAGAAAATTACGCATCTTCAATGCCAACCAGATTAAGGTGGGAATAAGGATAAGGCAGCATATGGAGAAACATCCACAAATTCTGGCCTGGAGATCAGACACAATTTACCGGAGTACTATTTAATTGGTTTTCTATGAAGCCGCTCAGAAATGAACAAAAGAAAACTGGAAACCAGTTATTAACTAACACAACAATGAATCATGAACGTCAATAGCGATCTGAATACATTTCAAGAGTGGTGTAATATTCGTCCTTCGAGAGAGCCAAGCAAAAGATTTTGTTAGTCACGGAAGTGAAACTATCGGTACTTTCTCAAATAGAATTGAGTAAAAAGTTATGATGACGATAAGTGGATGGGAACGCTGGCATGAAGAAAAAACAAGATAACAGGCGATCACCAGACGAAAGATTACTGCCGCACCAACAGAACACTGAAACCAGAGAGGAAGTGAACGAACCACAACAACAACAAAGCACAATTAAACAAGTCTAAATAGTCTAGACAGGCGGATTCCATTGAGACAACGAAATCATTTCCTAACAACGGCTAGTCCCACATGCATCCGATCAGTTGTTTAAAACTAAGCAGCAGATCTGCCGAAGCAGTCAATTGCTTCGGTACGGTTCTAAGCCGATGCATGTGCAATGTGGCAAGACAAACCAAGTGGCTTGAGCATTGTCTACTCGCTGACACGAAAAACGCCTCGTTCACATAGAACAGCTCCGATCACACGACTAACAAGTAAATAGCATTCGGACGACACTTCCTGAACCCCAAAAATTGATTTACAAGAGAGCAAAGATACAAGCAATAAGCGCGCGTTTTCCGAAAATTGCACAAATCCAGATCGCCTAGGAATCACTGAAGTTGGTCACCATCACAGCCCGAGCATTTAGGCAGGTTTGGACCGAGGGAGCACTTCCGGAATCACTGGGATACTTCATCAGGGGCGATAGCAAGCAAACCTACCGAGAGGAATCTATCGAACCTGAGTTCAACACCTCGCGTTTTCCTCTAAAAGTACATAAGTCCTCCAACGACAGGGATATTCGGCTGCTGAGACAGATTCACCCTACTTCCATCGAATCAGTAGCCGACCGTATGCTATTTAACTTGGAAGCTCGGTAAGATCAAATAACTATGGAGCTTACTGACCAACCATATGCCATGATTTGAGACATCTCCCAAAAATTGTCAAAATGTATCATGCAAGTTCTAAACACAGAACCAACATGCCTTACTACAAGAACAAAAACAAAATGCACTCGTAATGGCATTCAGGAGTAATCAGCTTGATAACTTCGGGAATTACATCACTACGGGAGAACTGATAGAAGTAGATCAACTCGCAACCGCAAAACACGAGTGGAATTCGCCAACGTGCTTCACTTATGTCACGGATATGACCTCAACCTCTTTCTAAAAAGCCGAGTTTACAACGTGACTGATGGCGGAACATCAGTGAGATAGAGACCCGTGATCACGAAGAGCCACTAATACCGGTTGAAATCTAAGGTGATGGGACCTGCAGTGGAGAACCACGAAAAAACTAGAACAGAAGTGTTTACGAGCAACAACTGGCTTCCTTCATGCGTTCATATATCAGCTGGGTGAAACCAGATTGTTTTTCTGAATAAGGTAAAAAAATGATGAAGCGTTGATCCTTGTAAAGAGCATAAAACGAAGCTGACGATTTTGACTTGGTATTTTTTACATAACAAGCGCTCTTTTATTCTTGTTTTTCTCTTGTGGTTCCGATTGTGCTTAACTAAGGTGGAGAAAACACCAACAAACATAAAGGACCAATGTTGCTCGTTAGCCGTGCAACGTGTGGGAGAAAACGGTGCTTTGACAAAAAGTTCTATAGGTCGAGATTTAAAAAAATCACGTAAATAGAACGTACCAAATTTTGCAAATTGGCAAACAGATTACAGCTAGTCACAACTTGACGCAGAACCTCCGGTTCGGCACGATAAGCCATTACGAGACGGGCGAAACAGGTACATACTCGCTCAACACAACGCGGTTCGGATTCCTTCAGACGCTCAGCCAAACTGGGAAGACTATCCGCGATCAGGGGAAAATCTCCCCGTTGCAAACTGACAAAACAATTTGATACCATCGTTAGGATTGTCCGGTGCTGAGCCAGAGTGACAAAGTCGTAGAACCCAAGCACTGCCTGTTAGAGTGGGAATGAAAGGAAGAGGACGCGGTTGATATCTTATTTGACAAAAAAACGACGGGGATGACAAAATGCTGGGTTGCATAGAGCTCTCGGTAAAATGAGTGGCAAAAGGTAGAGCGGGAATCCATTCTACTTAGTAGTGAAATAAGAATTTAAAAAAATGAACTGACTGCTATGCGTGACCACAATACACCGGACGCACGGATAAACTGTCATCAGAGTCATAGAAATCGGCATCATCAAGTACGCCTGGCTCTCGATGTGACTAAGACTAAATACCATTCATCTGATCACCATTACGAAGTGAATGAAGTAGCACTGTGGAGGCAGGCTGTCTCTTTCTTATTCCTCTTTGTACGTGAAAAAGCTTCCTGTTCGAGTTTCAAGTTTGGGTGGCGCTCGGAGAAACTAGCACGTTTGGGTACTGTGGTCTGAGACTGGAACCCCATACCGCCACCCAATTTCGACTATAGGTAGCTTCGCTATTACTCGGCTCAATACCGCACCTATACCCGTGAGACTTTAAGGGAATGACCACAAATTCCAGGTCCGGTCAAC